GAGCCATAACATTTGGCTCACATCAAGCAAAATGACATCGTGATTGTATCATTATGAAGAAGAACAAGATATAACGGAGACAACAATAAAAGTACCACAATAACAGTGGCGGGGATAACGGATAGATAGTCAGATAACGATGTGCAATCGATCCGATGTTGACCAAACGGGAAAACTGTATCAGTTGCATTCAACCTGTTTCGATGCAGAGCGATCTTTTCCCGATCGTTTCGATTTCTATGTAGCGGTAGCAACGTTACTTCTGCATTCCTTTTAATGGTCGATGACCGTGGGTGCCCGCGTTTTCATTAGAACCGATTAGGCTGCAATTGATTCATCAGCAGCCCCAAATTGGGGAAAAATTCGAGCCCTTTGGAAGGACGGTGCCCAGAAGAACCCACTTAGTACTGTACTTACCGCAAAACGGGATCCCTTCGGGTAACCAGGCGCCGTTCTCGCACACTCTCCTGCTGGGCCCCAGCAGCTCAAAGCCGCGCTCGCACGAGTAGGTCGCAATGGTGGCGGGGCCGAGAGTTTCGTCGGAAAACTCCACGGACGAGTGGGCGGGCGAGCCTGGAAACTTGCAACCGCCCGCCACTTCTGGATTGGCGCCTGCAACGAAACCAATATGCCATAAGAAGAAGAGTAAGCCTTATTCTATGCATAAGACGCAAAGCATGGGCAAAGTATGGGCACGCTCCGCTGCCTTTTCCTGTTCAAATTCCTCGATTATCTGCAGCCTGGTCGTTATTGTGCGGCGCGTGCCACTGACCCACTAACTTTCCGCCGGTTCCCATAGATTGCGTTCGAATGACCCTAATCCAGCCCATGGGTTTCCCGGATGAATCGCATTGCATATTGCAATGCGACAATCGTGCAATGCGATTCAGTCCGGACGTGTTGCTCCAGGCCGGAACTTCCAGCGGGAAACGACCAAAACGGTTGATTTGGGCAAAGCATTGCAATTAGCGCGGGTCTGCTGCTTCCGCTCCAAGTCTTTGGTCCATTTGCGCCCAGTTGAGGACTGATTGCGATGATTCGTTGTCCAAATATGACCCACAGTAAGCACCTGAGGCTGTTTTAGCCCCAATAATCGCTGCGTGGCTTAGTTGGTTCTAACTAGTTCTACTGAGGAGCTTAAATAATTTTGCACAAGATCGTGAATACGTACATCTGGCCAGGACTAGTAATCCAATAAAGGTTCCACAAACACCCCAAAGCGAGGTGCCACCTCGGTACCACCACATCGGAAAACACTGAAGCCGTTCCACTTAGGCACGATCGATCTAACGCTACTTGTAAAACTCCCGTTCTTCGCGCGTTCGCCGTGTCTTTCAAACTGAAGAAACGACGCTCTAGTTTTCCTCGCCGCAAGACACACGGTGACGTCGGCACAGGTGGAAGGAAGATGGATCGTTTGGGGAACGAAAAAACGGAAAAAACAACGTGCGCCCCGCAGCCGCGCCGATTAAAACGTTTAATTATCGATGCGTTTTTTTCCTTCTGTACGTGTGCGAAAACCCACTACCAATTACGCCTCAATGGTGCGGACTTTCTTCGCAAGCAATTTGCCCGCCTGTATGGAACTTTGAAAAATCTATTAACATTTTTGATGCCTGGGAACCAATTCATCAGGGGGGGGTAAAGGGATCAGTAAATTAGCTCTAAAAAACACAAATTTATTGATATTTTAAGGAAAAACACCCTTAATGGGTGTTTAAAATGAAACCCTGGACTCTCTGACTTTGTCTGTTTCATTGTGCCCGCAGGCGCTAAAAGAAAAATATTAGAATTAAGACATCCAGTAGACTATAATGTCATTGTTGTGCCGAGTGTGTTGTAGTTTGCTGTTTTGAATCACCCTGTATATGAGGCCGCTTTCGCATTCCTACGATCCTAATCAACTATTATTTGAAAACAATCACCAATCGCTTGCAATTTTTTGTTATTGTGTCTCATTGTCGCCTTGTGAAGAAACCTTTTCTATAAATCAGAACGTCGATGGGCATCGCATATCGGGTGCAACAGCCTTTGACTACTATCGATGTTCTGACTTTGAGATAATAATAGACTGGTCGAGCCCAACACACGTCTAAATCATTGGCTGTCATCAGCGCAAAAAAAGTGGTGCAATATAAGGAAATTGCATAAGTGCATCGATCTAAATAGAAAGCAAGCGAGTAAATGCGTTCATTAAAATGATTAGAACTAATGAGTCGATATTACGGTTCTATCGCAACACGATAAGGATTCGTCGGCGATTTATGCGGGTAACAACGAATTCTGCGCGTTTTTTTCTGCAATTTATGAAAGGAAAAACTGAGCGGGATACTTTCACAAAAGTGCGCCAATTAACAAGGAAGTTGGCCGCTTTGCGGCAGGGATACAAAGGAAACACGCGCTTTTTTCCTGTAACTTTTTGGTCCCACGATATGATATGGATCACTATTGGAATAGTGATTGACAAAGAGCCTTACTTACTTTCCCATTATCGGCCAAATGGGCAAAAGGAGCAAATGTTTCAACCGACATGCCAGCATGTAGTTTCAGATCCGTTCGAGCTGTGCATGCATATACTGTTAGATGTTGTTACTTTCTACAAGTACGCATTGCACATGTCGTTGGAATATTTTCGTGACTCGGCTCGATTCTTCCAACAGCCCAGATGAATATTAGATGAATATTAAGCGAATTGTTCCGTCAATAATCTTCCGGTACTTTGCCTGTTTCGTGGTTCCTCGCCTCAAGAGGTTTCTAATTCGAGCCCCAAAATGGCACCGCCCAATAGCCCAGATTCCATTGCGAGATAATTAAAAAATTGATTATAATTAGTCGAGAATACCTAATCAAGTTTGGTTACGTTCGCGCGATCTAATCCCCGATTTGATGCCGAGTCATTAAGGTGTTGCTGTTGATGTTCAAATTGTGTTTTCTTTTCAATCTGGTTCTTATGAAATTGCATTTAAATAACACTGCTTCAGCTAATCCAACAGATCAAGTGGCAAACTATCGGGCTGTTTTTGGTGTTTTCCAAACATTTTTCACTGCAGCAAAGCTGTTAAGGAGGCGAGTGTTCCAATAGAATTTGTCTTATCATTTTTCACAGAAAATACCTGAAGATTGTCAGTATTTTAAGCAAAACTAAAAAATAATGCGATTTTTGCGTAGAAAGAATTGCTTAATAGAAACTTTGTTAAAACTGGAATGACCTGAAAACGTAAAGAAAGTTTAGAAATCTTCAGGGCGGTGAGGGCGGCGAATTTTCCCAATAATTTTTTGTAAATTTTTGCTCTGGTTGTTTTTCTAAGTAATCCTAATTACTTTCGGTAAAAAACTGAATTCAATTATTTGGTTTTTGTGGCAAATTTAAAGCTGAAAAGGGTTTTCTAAAGTTCCCTGTAAACCGATGAACGAGGCGAATTTCGAAAATTCCCCATTATTGTCAAAAAAGAAGAAAATCATCAGAAAATACTGGTTTTTGCAGTTTTCGATTAAAAACTTTTAGCTTTGTGATCGTTTTTGACAATAATGAGGAGTTTTCGAAATTCGCCTCGTTCATCGGTTTGCAGGGAATTTTAGAAAACCCTTTTCAGCTTTAAATTTGCCGCAAAAACCAAAAAACTGAATACAATTATTTGGTTTTTGTGACTAATTTGAAGCTGAAAAGGGTTTTCTAAAGTTCCCTGCAAACCGATGAACGAGGCGAATTTCGAACTCCCCATTATTGTCAAAAAAGAAGAAAATCATCAGAAAATACTGGTTTTTGCAGTTTTCGATTAAAAAATTTTAGTTTTGTGATCGGTTTTGGAGAAAATCTTGTTAGTTTTCGGGAAAAAACCGTAGGAATTTTTTTTCGTTTTTGTCCCGAATTTGACACTGAAAAAAGTTTTTGTAAAATTTTTACAAAGCTATAAATTTATCTTGTAATTTTTCGCGTAAAATACATTCCAGATCGTCAGTATTTTTAAGTAAAACGCTACAAAATATAGCGTTTTTGAGTAGAAAGTAAAGCAAAAAAAAATTCAGTCAAAACTAAAAAACCAGATTTTTTAACAACTACAGTCTTCAGAGGAATGGAGGTGGCGAGATTTCCAAATAGTCTGTTGAAAACTTTCGCATATTCTGTTCGTTTCTTGATAGAAAATTGTTTGATTATTGTTCCAAATTGGAAGCTGGAAAGCGATTTCAAACCTTTTCACAAAGCGACGAAGGATTCGAAATTTATTTCATAATTTTTCGCGAAAAATATCTTGATTGTCAGCATTTTTAGCCGAAACTAGAACATTGAGCATTTATAGAAGAAACAGTAACTTGGCTAAAACTGGAAAATTCTGGAATTTGAAGACATTTTAAAAATATTATTAATAAATAGCCTTTAAAATAAAACTAAAAAAAGTAAAAAAAAATCATCAACATTTTCCCAGCAACGGAACTGAATTACTGAGCCGGTGCGTTGGGTTGGCGCACCAAGCCATTTGGGCAGCACTGCGCCAACTCCTAAAAATTCACCGAGTTACCCAGGCCTACTTCATGTACAACACTGAGTCGGTCACAAAAAAACGGTGTTGATTTGCCCACTTTATAGTTGTTGTTCTCTAAACTTCGGCATTAACTTGTCTCAATTTTGGTTATTCGGGAACAAACTTATTAACGCCGCGAGGTTGAAAAATTTGAAGCTATCGAAGAATGCCACTTGATTGGTCATTGAATGAAACAAAGATGTTCCAACTGATTGATGAGCAAACGGTACTTTCAGCGCCAATATTGATAATTTCGGATGGCCTTGTGCTCGCCCAAAGGCAGAAGTACCGTTAGCGCGTGAAGAATTCAGACAATCAGCAGCACTGGACGTGATCTAGGCTGTCCTAGTCGAAATTCGCGGAGGACAGTGACAATTGCGAAACGATTTCATTTCAATTAGCGAAATCGGGGTCCCCGCGAACCTCAATGAGCACACCGCATTAACATGCCGAACATATTAAAGTGTGCATTTTAATTTCGACTTTTTGTAACTTCCCGCGCTTCCGTTTTAATTATCTGATAATCTCGCTATTAATCATTTATTCGGAAGGCTATCTGAGGCAATTTGTCTTCCTTTGCCTGCCTTACATCAGTCTCAGCTAGTGAAAAGATGTGCAACGCAGATAATCCGCCAACGGGACTGTTTGCCATTATCAACATCTTGTCCTTCTTCGGATAATCACCAACATAGAACCCCCGGTCAATGCGGGTTTTTCACTAACTCTAACAAACGGGCCCGGGGTTTTTCTGTAATCAAAGCCCCCAATAGTCGGAACAATCGCTTCCTACCGATGGTTGTTTGTCATGAAAATTCGCTCCGTAACCAATTTTCTGACTGCCTTCGACCCGCTTTCTGTACATGGGCGGTCACGTGCAACGCACTGGCGCTATTACCCTTGATTTTTTCCCTTTTAAATCCAAACTGTTTGTTATTGCTCAAATCCGCGAAACCTAACGGCAACGGCTCCAATAGCTCCTAACACGCCAAAGAAACGTCCTAAATATGCGCTTAATTTACATTTAGGAATGTTTTCCGGGCTTTGAAGTCGTGGTCTATGGGAATTTCTTCCTAACGTTTCGTCCACAAATGCGGTGGACATTATCAACGGCGAAGTGATCTCCCGTGCTTTCCGACTAAGACTGATCTCAGTGATCAGTGACTGATCTCACAGTGACAGACTGATCACTGAGATCAGTCTTAGTCGGAAAGCACGGGAGATCACTTCGCCCACTGCCTCATCGCCTTTGATAATGTCCACCGCATTTGTGGACGAAACGTCAGGAAGAAATTCCCATAGACCACGGCTTCAAAGCCCGGAAAACACTCCTAAATGTGATTTAACCGGCCGTGAAAGCCTTCATAATATCCGCTTAATTTATTTCCAATCCCGTTCTCAGTTTGTTTTAGCTCCACCCGCAGACCCTTGTTTAAAATGGAAAACTTACCGATAAAGGCCGCGCTCCCAGCTTAATAACTGGTGCCAATGACGGTCTTTATGTTTCAGGGAATTCATTAAAACCACGCCTAAAAAATAAATATTCCGTTTTCTTAATAGCTGATAATAATAATAAATTCCGAACTTGCAATTTACAATATACAAAATGGGCTATTTACATCTGAAACTTACGAACATAGATCAATGCCTATATTTCAACAGACTTTCTTTCATCTCTCTCATAGCGTCGCGCTTGATGGCATGAGACTTTCGCAGCGGGCTGTAGTCGCTGATGCTCAGATAGCGTCTGAGCAACGTATCGATATCGCCCAGCAGCTGCTTCTTGTACCCCAAAGCGAACAGCTTCTGAATCATCGCGTAACGTTCACGATCATCGACTGAGGCCACTAGGGCGAAAGCCACGCTTTCGATCCGCAACAAGTTGGTGCCAGATTCCACGCTCCAGTTGTAGATGAGCGGCACTGTGTCCACCGCAATATGAAACTGTTGCACTGTGTCTGTGATGATCAAGCACAAATCGCTCAGTAGAAAGCGGTCGCATAGCGAGATAAGATCAAGCAAAGTGTCCAGATCCAGAACAATTTCAATGTTTTTGGATGGCTTCTGCAGCTCGATCGCCTGTATGATAAAGAGCAGACACTTGAAGCTCTTGGACTCCACTTCGGCTAGCGCCACTTCAGCCTGTTCGCTCTCCTTGAAGTGTCCATCCAGGAGGCCTTTGAAGAAGTCGGATTGCTTGACTAGAAAGTCGCGGTCGGATGGGATAAGGCAGCCGTCATCCAATCGGAACGACACCACGTTGCTGCAAGTTTCCGCCAGCTCATACTCGCCAATGGCCAGCTTGGGCCAGCCCATAGTGCGGACAGAGAGCGACTTCGGGTTGTTGATCAGGACACTGTGGGCCATTTGAACCAGCACTTTCAGGCTGCGCCGATTGTCTTGACCGTCGTTTTCCTGCAGCAGCTTCATCAGCACGTCCAAGCCGCCGCAGTTCAGCATCAGTTTTCCCAGGATTGACCTATTCCTGCAAACCGTCAAGCTATTACTCCGGCCCCCGATGAGAAGCTGGGCAAGTTACGCTATGATGTAGGGAATCACCAGCACCAAGCTCTGCTTGACCTTCCAGTCGCCTCGCATCAACTTATGGGCGATGTCGCCTTTGCCAGCTCCCGACTCCGCTGTTTCGCTGAAACTCTTCAGAATGCGATAGGTGAAATGGGCGTTGAACAGACACCGGGAGCAGGTCTCGTGATTGGCCGGGATGTTCCGCATGTCGTTCAGCGTGTGGATGTAGTTGGTCTGCATCAGGGATATCAAATGTTCCCCACACCTAAAGAAAACTGGGCATTGTCCATCCCATCCCAGCCCCGGCATCCAACTCACTTGACAATCTCACAGATTACGTCTTTGACGTCGAACTGTTCATTGATGGCGCATTTGGTCAGCTGCATCACCAGCTCCACTTTGGCCAGATGAGGGTGATGGGGCTGCACTTTGAGGTAGGACCTGATGAGGGCGACGATTTCATGGCAGAGTGACACTTGGAGGGAGCGGCGCACGTTCGACCTGCTGTCCTCAGATGCGGCATCTCCAGCCTCCTCCACCGCCGGATTGACTTCGTCCAGCTCGCCAAAGTCCTGGAAATCGTGGTCGTGTGCTCCAAAATCCGCCTCGTCCACCTCACTGCAGACCGGCGAATAATCGTCTGAGTCCGACTCTGGAAATTCAGCCTCATAAAAATTTGCATCGAGGTGATTTGGGGCGCACCAACCGTGAGCTAGGGAGCGATTCGGGCTGATGCCGCCTTCGCTCCAGGACAGCGCGTTTCCGCTGTCGCTGTCCGAGCTGGATCCGGGACTGGGACTTCTCATGCAGCTCCGGTAAAATTCCAGTTCATCGTCGCTGGAATTTGGGCTGCTGCCGCATTCTTTCAAGGTCTGGAAATCCAAATATACCAATGAAAACAGTGCGTCCAGGTTAGTATACGTGGACACAATGTAGATCCTACCGTTTCCATCCTATACTTACATCAGGATAACGCAGCCGTTTCTTGACAATGCTCGAATTGGAAAATGTGTATTTGCGCCTCTTCTCGCTGAGGTGCTTGAAGTTGACCACATCAGGAGGCCCAACAAGCCACGCCAGCTTCCCAACCAGCACCGGAATGATGTCATTGGCCAGCTGCTCAGCAATCAGTTTATCATCGTACCTGAACTTGTTCAAAGTGTGGATGAGAATGATGCAACAGTTCACCTGAAACGGAAGCAAAACCGCCCTAAAACCGAGCGCTCGGGTTGTTCAAATGTCCGGCTTACAATGTTATTGGAAGCCTCGTCGAAATCGCTCAGAACCTTGATGAGCAACGGAATGGCTCGGCCGCACCTTTCCAGGCTGCGGTTGGCTGGATGGTCGAGGAGGTAACAAAGACATTGCAAATACTCGGTGCACTGGCCCTGAAACTCTAAAACACCAGGCTTATAAAACTGCTATTGGCAATATTCCCAGGCTGGTACCCTTCACAATGGAATGCTCCTCTAGAACTTCGATAAATTTGGTGCAGATTTCGGGAATGGGCAGCTCGGACTGCAACTGACAGCTTTTGATAAAGTTCATCACGATTTTCACGATCTTGCGCGGGTCCAGAATCAGGATGCTGCTCAAATGCACCAGCGAGTCGCCTCTATCGGTACTTCTCAACTGAAAACGCCCCAAAAATCGTTAGTTCCGCTGGCTAAAACGCAGGCTAAAACGGCACCTCTAGAATAGAATCGTAGTTTCTAAATCGCGAATACTCGTGGATCACCCGGATGATGTCCAGCAGTGTTTTTTCGTTTTCCTTGCACGCCTGCCATCGCTCGCTGTACTTGATGAAAAGGGAGCCCACAGCCTTGAGAGCCCCGAATTGCTTCACCAAACATTTCACGGTGTTGCTGTTTTGAAGTTCTCTGGAAAAAAATTGCTTGTTTCAAAAAGGGCCATGATCACTCAAGGCTTTACTACCTTAGCGCCCTCAGCGCCGTCACCAGGGTGGCTTCGCTGATTTTCTCCCCATCAGGCAGCTGGTCTTTGGAGGCGGCCTGCACTACTTTCACTATATGCGAAACTATTGTGGGCTTTTTATTAATCATGAGCGTAGCCCATTGGTCTCGATGATGGCACATATTTCCGACTATTCGGAACGTCCTTCCATTGATACTGTCCTGGTTCGCGTGTCGTTTCAGCAGCTGGCTCAGGATGGACAGGATGCCGTGTTGGGTCACCTACACAAACCATCACTTACCAAATCAAAATGCGGACAGAGCAAACTTACTAATTCATTGGTGCATGCCCGCTCCATCATGCAATTGCCCAGGATGCTCAGCGCCAAATCCAGGCAGCTTTTCTGGTTGGTGGCCAGTAGAATCGCAGCTATTTGCTTCAGGGCGCCCTTAGTTCTGAGCAGGACAACGTTTTGTCTCTTTTTGGGCCAGTCCACTTCATGGCGAATGCAGATCAGGGCCTTCACCAAGGCCTTGGGGGTGGGCGAGCCCTGTAGGGCCTGTATGGCCCCTTCCAAGCCAGACATAGCGTGCTACTGCAACTAGTTTAATTTTTGATCTTATTTTTTTCATTAAATCCTCTCACTGTCAGTGGCATTTAACCTCAACTCCACAAGAAACCGTGACAACGTCGTGAAATACAAAGTTTGACTGAAGTGAGGTTAAGCATTTGCTAGGAAAAGGGGCTGAAAACATGCCTTCGGACGAGGAAAGTGAGCTGCCGCAGCTGTCGGCCAGCGCTTTTGCGGCCCTGCAGGAGTTTTACAAAGAGCAAGAGGAGCGAGAGGCCATGGAAATGTCTGCACGTGATGTTTCCGTCAAAGGGGACTTTAGTGAGGACTGGGCAAGTAATTAGGGGCTTTCCAGCCGCGAAAGCTCTTCTAACAGAGCGGCTTTTGCAGCAACTCAGCCAGTTTTGGTACGACGAACGCACGATCAAGGGACTAGTGGATATGACACTGGAAGCTGTGGGGACGAACGCAAAAATCGCCCTTGTTTCCTGCCCGACGCTTTACACGGAGATGAAACAGCGGGCAGGGCCCGAAGCCGAAGGTAAAAACGCCTGCAGCCCAGGCCTAAGTGAAACTTAGCGAACTTTTCAGTGACGCTCTTCGAGTTCGATCGGAGGTTTGCAGTGTTTGGGGGCGACTTTGTCTTTTACGACTATCGGTCGCCTTTGAACATCCCCCGAGATAAAAGCAGCTACTACGACATAGTAGTGGCCGACCCTCCATTTCTATCCGACGAATGTCTGACGAAAACGGCGGTTACAATGAAGTTCCTTACAAAAAGGCGCATAATATTAAGCACCGGTAAGCAACAGTAGTCAATGGGTAAGTCCCCTGTAGCTAACGACTGTTCCGTTTAAGGGGCAATAATGGCTGACTTGGCGAGCAGGCTGCTGGACTTGGAGAAGCACAAGTTCGAGCCCCATCATCGCAACAATCTGGCAAACGAGTTTTGGTGTTTTACGAACTTCCACAAAACGAGGGACGTGTCCTAGCAATAAACGAATAAGATTGAAAAAGCTATTTTATTCCATTCATTTCACGTGCGTGATATGTGCCCGGTTAACGAAAATCTGGGATATGATGCGTTCGAACGTTTAGAGGAGAGCAACCCAATCCAATTGGTCCCAACACAACTCCGGTGGCCATTATTGCTATACTTCTATCATATATGTAACTCACATGGTGCAAACTTAACAATATTGAGGCGTTTAACTGCGTTAAAATAATCACATTCACGTAGTATTTACAACATTAACGAACATCGATTCGTGGACTGGTTAAAACTGTAACACAGCGTGAGGTAAAAGCATACAAAATGGTACTGGGTTCTTAAAAAAAATACCTTTGGTTTTAGTACCTATAACATCCTTTTACAGTCTTGTGAGTACGGGAAAATCGTTCGATTAAAGCGCATCGTCCAGATAACTTACGTCGCCCTGAATAGCTCCGGTTTCCTTCAGCGCCTGCATTGTTAGCCTATCTATTTCGTTCAGCAGGAACTGGGTGTCAGTGTCCAAAACCTCCGAATGCACGGAGTTTTGAACACTGTCCCATTCCAGACTGTTAGCCGATGACGACACTCTGGAATAGTCCGATTCGGTCACATTGACGGCATGCAGCGGACTGCGATTGGCCTGAGTCGTCAGAGTGTCTTCGGGAAATATGGAAGTTGCCCTGAAACACTTGGTCGGTTAAAAAAATCCAGCTGCAACACCACCCAATTTCCAGTACCAAGAGCTGCCTGATGCCTCATGGATGATGGAGCAGGGCAGAGTCTCGTGCTCCCATTCCAGCTCCAGAGAGTTTTCCGGTGTGGAGGCTCTAGTGGAGAGGCTGGCGCTGCTTAACAAAGCCCTGGCGTCCAGAAACTGCAGCTGGATGTCTCTGCTGAAGAGCAAGTACCTCATTATCTGCGCAGTTGAATAAAACGTCTTAGTACCTCTGGAGGGAGGCTCTGGGCAACTCGGACAGCCTGTGGTAGGACAGTTGCGGCCTTAGCATCGCGACCACACCAGTTGAGGCCTTCTAGAAACAAAGCAATTAAGCTCCATCAAAAGCCCACGGAGTTCCATTCAGTGTTCACCTCTTTTCTGTCTTTCCTCCTGTGGAACAGCCTGGAGATAAAACACCTAAAATCAACGGAAATGATTGCAGGATGGATGGAGGCAGGCAAACACTAGTTGTTACCGTTTGTCGGCCGCAGCAGCGTCATCCATCTAAACGAAAAAGTATGCGATCAATTAACCGAATTTTGGCAATAGTGGGGCCTCATTTTCATTACCTCATCAACCAGGGCGGATAAATCGCTCCCCGACTTCGAGAGCGCGTTGAAATTGTCGCTGTTGTTAGGCAGACAACTGGTGAGGCAGTTTCCCATGGCGGTGGCAGCCCCCAAAGGACTGCATCAATATTAGCCCCCATTTGGGGCCCAAACAGCCGTAAAATCCGTGGTTACTTTAACGGGCAGTTGTGGGTGAACTAGGGGGGGCCTAAAACAGGGCTTGCCAAGGCATCAACAGTCAATTCTTCTTAGGACGGGCTTCGGCCGGAACACTGTAAAGGGCCTATAAGTCTTTTGTGTGGGAATAATGGAACTTACCTTAAATCAAAGAACACTGGTCGCTGACACAGAGGAACATAACCCTAGACTACACTACCTTCAAAGCACTGATGCCATTTGGGGATTTAGCGAAGCGGCAATAGCGCCGTTTTTATCAGGGTTTTATGGAGCAGCGACAGGAAAAGAGGTTGAGGGCAATAAGCACCGCAAAGTCCCGTAGTTTATGTATAAAAAAATAATATATTGAAGCAGCGACTGGTTTCAGAACTTTGAGGTCAACTTCCACAGGACCAGCTCTTTGCAGCGATCATAGCGGAAATATTGAGGAAAATCGGTGGGAACGGCCTCAATAGTAACGTTGCCCAAGACCTTCAGCTGCTCCAGGAAATGCTCATAGCAAGGCGCGCACGTATCACAGTCGCTAATGGTAAAAACGTAGCGTTTTTCCAGAGCGATCAGCACGCTCCTGCTCGGGGGAATGTCCAGTATTTTTTTCACCGTTTTAACAAAAGCTTCTGTAAGACGGTCATCGTACACTACTAAAAAAAAACATTTCCTGCTGTAAAAACGGTCTCAAACAGGATTGTGGGCGCTAAAAGGTTGAGCGAAAATAATGCCAACAACTCTTCATAGCAGTATTTTTACTACTTTTTACTACTTGATAAAAAAAACTGGTCGTAAACCTCATTTTCGCAACCAACCCACCAAAAAAATTAGCTCACAAGTTTTCCTATAAGATGAGCACATTGTTAACAGCGCCCACAAAGTCCTGATGTTCTAGAAAATTACCCGATTTCCATCAACAAACCATTTTGCACCAATCACAACGTACAAATATGCACAGAAAAGGGGGCACGTACCATCCGCTGCAATCACAGTTTTCACTTGCGGCAGCGCTGCTAGAACTTTTTCGGGTAAACCATCAGCGGTAAAATCCAGCTGCAGCACCTCAACCGGATGCTTGGCCAAGTGCCGGTTCCTATTCACATTGGCGTTGATAATCTGGAAAATCTGCCCCCGGTCCACGTCTGGAACACCCCAAATGATCTCACTAGGCGCAGAAATTCGCGAAAAACCTGCCAACCTGTACAAATCACTGGAGCAAACATCGCAGCTACCACGGAGGTGAGCCCCACTCCAGCGCCCAGCTCCAGGATGGAGTGGCGTGGGGCAAAGGAGGCGGAGTTATCCAGCAGCCAATCGGCCAATAGCAGCGATCCTCGCCACAGCTGCAAACCCACCAGGTCCAGGCTGGTGCTGTAGCTGTGTTCTAGAGCAAAGGGGCTGCTGCCTATACCCAGGCAGTTGAATCGGGCTTCACTTACCGATTTCCAGGCACTGGGAGAGTTGGGTTTTGTTCCTGGCCACTAGCAGGTCGCCCTCCTTGTCCGTCAGGCGGTAGCTGGGCAGCTCGAAGTGAAAATCGCTGACCACATCTAGAAAGCCCAGTTTTGCATACTGATTTTTTTTTAGGTCAAGTCAGCGATCATACTTTTGGGGTTTATTGTCGGTTTGGCTTTGGAGGTGTAGTCGTGCTCCTCATACAGTTCCGAGGAGATTTCGTAGGCTTCGTCGTCCATCGCCTGCAAAAAATGCTTACTTAACACGCTCACTTTGAGATAAATGTGCACTGATGTCGACCAGCAGCTGCCGGCCGACAGCAGGAGCAATTGAATCTTTGCCAAGTTTCATTGATAGGCTCGGTTTAGTTTTTACAGTTTTGTCCAACACCACAATATAGCGTCATAGCTGATAGAAGGCCAAGCGGCAATAGAAGGGAAGAACCTATACGCAAATCCCTAGGGACATTAATGGGACCAGACTATTTGCCATTAAGAAGGCTTGAAATGCACGACAACAAGTTTTCTTTATCAAACGGGGCAGATGCGGGCATGTCTCACTTAGGGCCGACCGCTGCAGCTTGCAAGATCAGAGGCGCAGCCAGTGGTTATTTCTCAAATGCATGCAGTTTGTAGGGCACAGTGCGTTCTATAGGTAAGAAAAGTTTCGATTGGATTTTGCAGGAATCAGTAGAACTAGGCAGTGCTTTTTGCATGCATTTTATAAAGCACAGGCTCTTCTATCCGGTTCTATAAGTGGAACAAGTACTGAATCTCAGTCAACATCAGACGATTTTCAGAAATTTTTCAAAATCCCGTCTGGTTTCTGCAGGCCGGAGTTGAGAATAATTTGCTTATACAAAGTGAGGAAGTATATTTTGGATGCGTTTTGTAGGAAAAGTTCATTTTACAAGTGAACACTGTTTCGAAATTTGTCATTTTTAGGAATTTTTGACAAATTTTCAAAATTCTCCTTGGCCTTCGAACTTTTTACTTGTTTTTTTGGCATTTAATTGTCCGAAAAACAGCAAAGCGATAGAGTTTCCTTTGAATTTAGTAGGGCAAAATCTGCTTTGCATGTGTGAAAAGTTTCAATCTTGCAAAGTGAGAAAGGAATTTCTGGATGTATTTGTAAGACGAAGTTCTTTTGTTTGTG